ATGATGGACACTATTGTCCCACAATCCAACGGGAAATGGAAAGGGAGGACATTCCCACGTCTGGAAAATTCTGAATAAATGGCGGACGGCGCCGCGAGCGCAGCTGCAGTGGCAGCGCGACCAGAAATGGTGTATAAATGTGAGTTCATCCCAAATTTGTAAAATATTCTGTAAGAAAACAAACAGGTTACACTTACTAATGTTTTCATTTGTTAGCCAGCCTTCAGAGTCTGGCTTGCTATGATGTGCGTTGTCATAGCAACGATTCGTCACTTCCTGTTAGTAAGGTGGTGTAGTATTTTAATATTTTGTGTACTAACCTGTCGAGCTCATACTATTAAGAATAGAACGCAATATATACTGTATAGTATTAGTGTGTAGTACACAATTGGGACACAGCCACAAGCATACTGTTAGTGATTTTTTATGCTTGTTATGAAGAAAAGAACCATAATACATTGGAACGACATTAAACTAAGACAACACAGTGGTTATCAGAATTTTTAACAGAGTAAATTCTCACATTTGTGGGTTTCTTTGGTCGCTTGTTCAGCCATCTTGCCGGTTTTTCTCATAACACTCCATTTGGAGGACCACGTAGCCCTAACGCTTCACCCTACCCCTCTCTCAACAAGAATCGGGACACCCTACCCCTAGACGTGAACGCGCAAAACTAACGGCTAAGTGGTAGGGGTGAGGGCTGAAATGGGATTGGGCCTTACTCTTCATTATTGTAGCTCCACCTTGCTGGTCTCCAGTTAAAGGCGTCCGCTAGCCCTTTATCTGTAGGCTGGTTGTGACCACAGAGCAGTTCTGACAGCACATTGTCTAAAGGCATAAGCAGTACAGCGTAGTCTCCAGTGTAACTGTTTCATATAAATTGTATGTAAGAATATATACTTTTATAGTACTGTGCAAAAGTCAGAGACGTCCCTGCATTTATTTAACGTCCAGTCAAAATGTATGTTAAGTATAAGTTACTGATTTTTTCCCAGTGTTTACTGTGTCCACTCTTTACCTTTAATCCAGCTTCCATTCTTTTCAGGAGACTCACTTTCAGTTCCTCAAAGAATCTGCAGACACGCCTCCAAAGTTCAGTCTTAGAAGCTGGTTGATCATTTTCTGAAGTACTCAAACACATTCAGTGGTGTTGAGGTCTGGACTCTGGGGTGGTCAGTCCATCGTTCAGCTCCTTTGTTTGATGTGTCCGTCTCCTTTTCTCAGTGAGGTTCTTCTTGATCAGCTACACATCCTTTCAGACCCACAGCGCTGAGTCGTCTTCTCACAGTGGAAGGATGGACAGAAACACCTGTGGATGTTTTCAGATCTGAAGCAGCTTGATTTTCTCCTCTCTCTCAGAGATGAAAGCTTTAAGTGCTGTTTATCTGATGGGGGCAGTTTTGGGGTCTACCAGGTCTTTCAGGTGGTTGTTTTATATATATATTATATATATATATATATATATATATATATATATTTTATATATATATATATATGTGTGTATGTGTGCGTGTGAGAAAGGTCCTGTTTGAATCTTTGTTCTGACTGGCCGGTGTCCAGCTCTCCTCCTCCCTGTGGTGTGTGTTCATTAGTGCAGTGGAATGTGTTAATCCCTGTTCTGTTCTCTGGCCTCCTTTTAAGTCTGGATTACATGGTGTGTGTGAGTGTGTGGCTGACACACTGTGAACTTATTAATCTTCTGTATGAATACAGTAGTACTCAATACATTACTGGTATTATTGTGCAGTGCATTTTGATATAAACATGTTAATTTTCTGGGACGACCTGTAGTGATGGGGTGTGTGGTACACCTGGGGTTTGCACCCAGTTCCCATCAGTAGGGCTGGGAATAACTAGGTACAATAGTATCATTATATAATCGTAATTTAGTATGTAACTGTAATGTTATGTTACAGTCTGATGAACAAATCTGGGTTTTGCAGATGGCAGGTGCCAACAGTAAAGTTTGGTGGAGGAAGGATAATGGGCTGAGGCTGTTTATCAGGGTTTGGGCCCCTTAGTTCCAGTGAAGGGTGATGTTAACAGGTTCTGTGCAGGTACATTTTTCGTTCATCAAGGTACAAACAACGTCAATATACCTTCAAAGGTAAAACAGTGGTTTTAAGGTCTAGTTATGTAAATTAAATAGGTTTTTCCAGATGAAAAGTTCGTATTTGTATCTTTTCATAACCGAATGTTTTAAAACAGAACAGTGAAAATAAAAGCCTGGAGACGAGACGGGGTGTGTGGAGTCAGTACAGCTTAGAAAATATTATTTAAATCCATTACGGTTCAATTATGTTCCCTGACTAAAGGTACTGAGATGTACCCTTGAGGGAACCACCCCAGTGACACAAGGGGTACTGCCCCAGTGACAGTTTCATACCTTATTTCTGAGAGTATAATTAGATATAATGAAAATGAGTGTAAATTTCCATACTGATGAATAATACAGTTCCCACGTTGATGGCGCCCATCAACGTCCTAAATTTAAATTTAACTCCTGCTGGGTCTCCGAAACGAAGGCCTGGGCGAGACGGCGGATGATTAAAGAGAATTATGCAGGAGCTTTAAGCTGGGCAGCAGCGCTCTCACAGCTTTTTCTGGAAACTTCCACCTTTCAGTCACGCACTCAGCATTAGGGAAGGAAGGAGAAAGAAAGACTCTTCAGGCTGGTTTCACATGAAACTTTCATGCAACTAGCTGCTTGAGTTGCATGCAACATAATGTGTACGCAACTTGGTTTTTATGATGGGTATGTTAAGCACTTTTTTGAGCAGGTCCCATCCATCCGTACTTGCAGTGGTCCAATGTGCATTATAAGTTTTGATAGTCAGAACCGCTGCTCAGCGCTATGAAATGGCCAAGATAGCACAAAGGTCACTTCTATCTATGCATTGTCCATTCGTGGTAGACCCTTAGCTCTTAACCCCACAACCCAACACAGAGTAGCACAAACAACATGCACCTGTTAAGCTAACAACAACAACTTATTTACACTGAAGTCCCTTCTGCCACGAACATGCCGCTTCCCAGGAGCCTTTTCGCACCTTCACACCTCCTGCGCTCCCACGGCAGAGCGAGCCAGTAGCGGGATGCTAAAATATTAAAGCAATAAGCCACGAGCGGCCATGCGTCACTGCGATTTTATCCGCTTCGCATCGTGCCTAAGAACACACTTCCCCTGTGGTAAAATCACAGTAACACATGGTCTCGAGTGGCTTATTGCTTTTATAGAACGCCAGCCAACATAATCTATGATAAAATACACAATATTTTGTTATTATTAACAATATTTGACATAACAGTATTACGCCAAGAAATATAGTTTGTTTAGCGTGTGGTGTCGTTGCCAAGCAACCATGACCTGTTGAAAGAGGAGACGAACATTCAGTCGCCCATTGCTGTATAATGCAGTCGTTTCATGAACTTCTTAGTCGAGTAACAAGGAACATGACAACACAGCACTGTTTAATGCAAAAACTTTCGCTTTAAAATACCAGATTATCACTGTGAGTCTTCTTTGGCACCAATCCAGCGGTGCCCCACTTCTCACGCTGGGGCTGAATCTCAAATGGCTCCCTGCTCCCTACATAGTGCACTACATAGGAGTTTAAATACTGGATCCTGCAGCCCAACAGAGCAAAATACAGCTAAGGAACAGTCATTTGGGACTCAGACACATCCACACTGGATAAATGATGCACTGTTTGGCTGTAGAGGCTGGAATTACTAAACTTTCATAGCTAGAACACTATTTAGGGAGTACAGAGCCGTTTGGGATTCAGTCTGGGTTTGACGCGACTTCTGACTGAAACATGAACATTTGAAGTCATTCAAGTGACATTTTTAGTCTTTTTTACTGCCGTTTTACAGTTAATAAAGGTAAGTACTTTAGTTCAAGCCTGTGATATTAATGATGGAGCTGTTTAGGCTGTTTTCTATCTTTTAGCCTGTTAGCTAGCTGACCAGCCCAGTTCTAGTTAAGAAAATAAGGTTCCAGCTGCTCAGTTTAAACAAAAAACAGGTTCTTACTTCATCAGTACACTCGGTGGTTCCCACGAGCAGCATTATAATCAAAGATTATTCCATTAACAGCACAAGGGTTTTTTCGTGCCGTGGCGCAGAAATACAGAGTTCAGTTGCTGTGAGGCATCATAGGTGCGTAGACTTTTACGACGACTTTGAATGCGCCTCAGCCAATCAGATTTTAGGACTGGAACTGTGTGTTTTATAATAAGTAGTTTACAGCAGCTTACAAAGAAAATTAGATTTAGGACAGAAACTGTCCGTTTTAGCCAGCAACAGTTTTTATCATGTGACCTACTGTATTTTTTGCTTTACATGTTGCTGCACTACGAACGCTTTTCTGCTTTTTCAGGCTCAGTTTATCATAAAATCTGATTTGTTTTTCTTTTCCTCCACTATTTCTAGTATTGGCCAAAATGGACCTTGGGGATCAGATTGGTGGCATCTCTACTTCTACAGCCTCGTTAGCATTCCTGATATTGACCATGGGATTTTGTGCAAAGACGCTAAGTGCCCATTTCACTCCATTTTAACTGGATTAGCGTGAATCGCCTGGCGCTTTTTCTCCTCAGTTTTCGGGAGTGGAGTGAGGCTCCTGAGTGGCAGTAATTGCAAGCAGAGCTTTAAATCAAAGCCGGAGTCCGGCCGCTGTGGACCATGTCCAGCAGCGCTGCCTGAGGCGCGTCAGGCCCAAACTCAACTACAAACTCCTCGTCGTTTGACACTTCCAGTTATATAAGGAGAAACATTCCGGGCTTCATCGGCTGGTTTGTACGCTGTATGGGTGCTGCTTTGTACCGCCGGCTACTTTGATACGCTTTCATGTCCGTGCCGGAGTGGCTAAATTGGTTTGGGTGTGCGCTGAATATAATGTTTCCCTGGGTTTCGCTGTGATGTGTCAATTGAAGTGTTGCCTTCAGTCTTCCTGTGGTCTAACCGGCCATTTGCCATTTTTCTCTGTCCATTTTCAGCGATGCACAGCGTGCTGGACACCCTGAGTGACAGCACCAGCTCCACGACGGCCAACGACCTGGACCTCATCTTCCTGAAGGGCATCATGGAGAGTCCTGTGGTGAGTAACACAAACCCAAACATGCACACATGCATTAGTTGGCATTACTGCTCTGAGTGCCGATTGGTTGGCATTACTACTACTGAGAGCTTATTGATTGGCATTAGTTCTACTAAATGCTGATTGGTTGGCATTACTTAGTTCTGATTGGTTGGCCCTACTTCTACCGGGTGATGATTTGTTAACATTACTGCTACTGAGTGCTGATTGGTTGTCATAGCTTCTACTGAGTGCTGATTGGTTAGCATTACTGCTACTGAGCACTGATTTGTTGGCATTACTTCTACTGAGTGCTGATTGGTTGGCAATAGTTCTACTAAGTGCTGATTGGTTGGCATTACTGCTACTGAGTGCTGATTGGTTGGCCTGACTTCTACAGAGTGCTGATTGGTTAGCTTTACTTCCACTGAGTGCTGATTGTTTGGCATGTCTTCTGCTGAGTGCTGATTGGTTGGCTGTAGTTCTACTGAGCGCTGATTGGTTGGCATTACTGTTTCTGAGTGCTGATTGGTTGCAATTACTTCTACTGAGTGCTGATTGGTTGCAGTTACCTCTACTGAGTCCTGATTAGTTGGCATTACTGCTCTGAGTGCCGATTGGTTGGCATTACTACTGCTGAGAGCTTATTGATTGGCATTAGTTCTACTAAATGCTGATTGGTTGGCATTACTTAGTTCTGATTGGTTGGCCCTACTTCTACCAGGTGATGATTTGTTAACATTACTGCTACTGAGTGCTGATTGGTTGTCATAACTTCTACTGAGTGCTGATTGGTTAGCATTACTGCTACTGAGCACTGATTTGTCGGCATTACTTCTACTGAGCGCTGATTGGTTAGCATTACTGCTACTGAGTGCTGATTGGTTAGCGATTACTGAGAGGCAGTTCTGCTCGCTAGAACTTCTCTGGTAGTCGATAACGAAGGCAACCCGTGCTGTTCTGGGATTTGAGCTCCTTTGTGCGTTTTTCAGGCTTTTCCGACAGACAGGGAAGACGGAAACAGAGCGAGAAGAGAGGGAGCGCTCTCTCACTTCTCTTTCATGAGCAACGGCCCTGCTGGGACGCGGCTTTCTGTTCTTTGTCGCTTTGATGCGAACGCTTTCCTTTATAGAGAGGAAGATGAGAAGAGGATGGAGAACTTTGACAGGGCTGCAGAAGCGGAAATGGTGGAAATGCTCAATAAGCAGAACTGCAGAATGAGCTTTATTTCAAAATGTGATTATTCCATACCGAGAAAGTGGGCAATAAAAGCGAAGAGTAGTCAAAAAATTTGGGACTTCGTTACCTGAATAATGTTAGCTGTTACTATACAGAGCTTGATTTTGTTGTCTCCATGCTAAGCTAACGAGTTAGCTAACATTCACGGCTCAAATCAGAAGAATAGGACAAATGAGCCTTACATCACAACAGCAAAGAACTTACTTCTGGGTGGATAACGCAGGTAGTGCTGCACTGGAACTACAGGATTTGTACTAATCCTGAAAGTTATTTTGATATATGATTATATTAATTAATTTAATATATATTAAAATAAGTCCACATTTGATTTTAGTTTGTAAAACTGCACCGTCTCACTGAGGGAACGTACACATCAGCAGATGGGACTGAGACTGAGACGGTTCTTGGAGACACTCATCAGAGTGAAGTTTTATTGAAAGAGAGGAACAGAGAGAGAGAGAGAGAGAGAGAGAAACAGACAGACAGACAGAGAGAGAGCGTGAGAGAGAGAGACAGACAGACAGACAGACAAAGAGAGAGTGTAAGCGAGAAAGAGAGACAGACAGACAGACAGATAGAGAGAGAGAGAGAGAGCGTGAGAGAGAGAGCGAGAGAGAGAGAGAGAGCGTGAGAGAGAGAGAGAGAGAGAGGGAGAGACAGACAGACAGATAGAGAGAGAGAGCGTGAGAGAGAGAGAGAGGGAGAGACAGACAGACAGACAGACAAAGAGAGAGTGTAAGCGAGAAAGAGAGACAGACAGACAGACAGATAGAGAGAGAGAGAGAGAGCGTGAGAGAGATAGAGAGAGAGAGCGTGAGAGAGAGAGGGAGAGACAGACAGACAGATAGAGAGAGAGAGCGTGAGAGAGAGAGAGAGAGGGAGAGACAGACAGACAGACAAACAGACAGACAGATAGAGAGAGAGAGAGAGAGAGAGCGTGAGAGAGAGAGAGAGAGAGAGCGTGAGAGAGAGAGCGAGAGAGAGAGAGAGAGCGTGAGAGAGAGAGAGAGAGAGAGGGAGAGACAGACAGACAGATAGAGAGAGAGAGCGTGAGAGAGAGAGAGAGGGAGAGACAGACAGACAGAGAAAGAGAGAGAGAGAGAGGGAGGTAAAGGTAAAGGGGTTTGATTACTGTAACATCTCCTCTGGGGCTAAAAATGATTCAGTGTAAAATCCAGAGAGAGCAGAACTTTAATTAGATCATCCTGCAGCACCCACATATACTCTCTCTCTCTCTCTCTCTCTCTCTCTCTCTCTCTCTCTCTCTCTCTTTCTCTCCCACTGTCTTTCTTTCTTCTCACTCTATTCTTCTGTTTCTCTGTAGGTTTAGTGCACTGAAAGCCTCTTTTTCCTCAGTCTTTAATGTCTTTTGTTAACTGTGCTTCATCTGATGAAGTTCAAGTGATATTTTTAGTCTTTTATTCTGCTGTTTTACAGTGAATCACACTGTAAGTACTTTAATTCAAGCCTGTGATATGAATGATGGAGCTGTTTAGGCTGTTGGCTGTTTTAGCCTATTACCTAGCTGACCAGCCTGGTTCTTAAGAGCATAAATTGCCAGCCCCTCAGTTTAAACAAAAAAGGGGTTCCCACTTCAGCTGTACACTCGGTGGTCAATGCGAGCAGCTTTAGAGTCAGAGATTATTTCAGTAACAGCAGAAGTTCAGTTGTTTGCGTATACCGTGGATTTGACAACGGCTTCGAATGCAGCTGTCAATCAGATTTTAGGACCGGAACTATTTGTATTATAAAAAAGGAAGTAGGGAAGGAAAACATTAACCATAATGGACGTTAATGTAAGGAGACGTAATTTGTGTTGGTCCATTCCTCATGAAATGTTGACAATTGAAAGATTTTGAATGGTGTAAAAAACTGGTAAGTAGAGGTTTTGATATAACAGCAGTGATATAAATAGATCTTGTAATGGTATATTGTTTTTGACAGTTTATAACACAACAGCAATTTTTGATACGCTGCACCTGCCATAGCGGTGATATAAATAACTCGTCAACTGAAAGGTCAGGAAACGATCTGGAGCGTCCAGCCGTATCGGGACGCCTCGTTCCCTCCTGCAGGCGGATTCACGCAGTTCTCACACATGGCCAGGTTCTCTGGGCAGAGGGTGCACATCAACTTTAAGCCACTTTTACCCCCAGTCCCACCCTTCAGCCACTGCGGTGAGCAACAGCACAGCTGACCTCAGATCAGTCCTTAAGGTCACCTCCTGCCTTCAGCGCTTTCTCTGAAGCTGACACCACCAAAAAACGTCTCACTGTCTGGCAGAGCCGAGACAGAAATGTCACTCACCACAGCCCTGGAGACACAACAGGAAGGCGACAGTCTTTTCTTCAGAAACCTTTTTTTAGATATACCCTGTCTGTCAAAAGTTTGGGGACAGGGATTTTCTCCTGTTACAGGGGAAGTCCATAGATTTTGCGAAATTTCTGCATAGTTGAGAGGTAAACAGTCTTTCAGAGTGGTTTGATGTGTAGTGGTTCATTATAGAGAGGTTTCTTTATAGTGGTGGTGATAGAAACCAGGGGTCACCATATCCACAGCACAAATATAGCCATTTTATTTACTATCCAAAACCACTGGTGAACAAGTGCAATTTTCAAATTGCAAGAGCTGCAATTTTAATTATAGCCTACATTATCAACACTGTTCCTTACTTAGGGAATATTAACCTAATATCAGAGCTTTTGAACCGTGTGTAGATGAGTTAAACCAATCAGAAGCAACCAAACACCTATATGCTGTGAAGTCACAACCACACTAACTGGCAGTCTGGTGTGTTGAGTGTCCAAGCCTAAACCAGAAAAAGTGGATGTTCTGGTCTTCTTGGCCAAAGTAACAGCCCTGGAGTTCAGTTTATAGAAATAATCGCAATTTAAATTGCAATCACAATATTAGAAAAATCGCAATTAGATATTTTTCCCAAATCGTTCAGCCCCAGCCAGCTGGGTATTTGATGATTCTTGATAGTGTATGGTCTTATTCTTCCCGTTCAGCATGCACCTATATACCTACGTTGGTATCAGAGTACCCTCTGGAGGCTCTAGTACAGGGGTCGGCAACATGCAGCTGTTTAACTGTCCTGTTGCGGCTCCACAGCAAAATGAGATGTTTAGGTAAAAATAAAATAATCCTCCTTTACAGTAAAATAAAGCTCTGCTGATCGTTCAACACAGTTTAACTATAAATGGTCTTAAACTCTGGAGTTAATGTAGAACTGCTAATTCACCCTTTAACCCTGAAGATCAGCGCAGACTGCTGGTCACTGTAGCAATTTCAACAACAATCTCGTCTAGCTAGTAGCTAACAAAAAGACAAAGAGAAAGACTTAAGATAAATATCGATGATTTGGAGACAATTGGACTGATTTGCATTTATAATGAGAAACTGTCAAACACTAAAAAAGCGAAGCCGAAGTCAGTTTCTCATTCGGCAGCTTCTTATTTGAATTTTCCCGTTCCACCTTAAATGGTGCAGCAGTTACATTCTGCCGCGTCAGGCGCCATTTAAGGTGGAACGGAAAAATTCGAACAAGAAGCTGGTGAATGAGAAGCGATCTCAGCTTCATAAAAAAAACATTAAAATATTTTAAACATTGAAAGATATTTTTACACGAAAGTATTCTGCTTTTGTTTCCTGCTGGAGATGTGAGAAAAGCAGCTATAGTTGAGCTAAACCTTAAAACAGAGCTGAATGTGGGTGGAATTGGTTATGTCTAAATTGGGGAGAAAATTGGGAAAAAAATAAATAAAAGTATAAATATAGTACAAGAATGTGCTGACAAAATGTACTGTATTGCGGTGTCACTCCACCTCACTGTAAGTAGTTCCGGTTTTAAAAGAGAACAAATGTTTATGTTTGGCTGTTTTAGGTTCATTCGTACAAAAAACAGATCCTGAATATGGGAGGAGTGGTGGGTTTTTCCAGAGTAGTCACTGTGTTTGTTGCTGTTTTCAGAAAATTAAAAGTGAAGCTGCGTTATGGACATTAACCTCGAGTCATCTCGAGTTTCTCCTAAGAACCCCGAACATTACAGTATTTTGCAGTTCACCTTTATTGATAACCAAAAAAAAATTAATATCAAAACCCCAAAATTAAAAAACAAGTACCTGCCCAACGAACGACTATCTGAATAGTTGAATATTTGGGTCCATCCCTAGACCTTTCCTCAACAGACATTGTCCCAGAGCAACACTGAGAGGAACCAAGACTCAAAACAGGGAACCTCATCTCCTCTGGGCTGCAACAGACAGCACAGTTAGGATACACGTAGCACAAATTCATAAGAAAGATAAAACAGAGGCACTGGGATCATACAGAGGAAAGATCTGGGAGACACACCAGCAACCAATGGCTTAAGAGATGAGAACATGTTGGGGTAGAACCTCAATATGAGAGAAAGGCAGGAACTTCCAGAATTGGGCTTAGAAGTTCATGCAGGGATTGCAGTAGTAAAACTCATGACACATGCAATGGTCGACTCTTCATTGAAATCTCTGGAGCATCTAGATAAAGCAGCTTTAAAGCACTCAAGTAGACCCAGCCATGCTGATTTGAGACCATTTTGGCCTTGGTGTGATTTAATAGTGGTTGATTTTGGGATTTTAGAAAGTTTGCAACTTTGAAATGACCCTCAAATCGCCGTAACTGCACTTATCAGCGAAGGCGCTGTGGTTTTGCCAGGCCCAAAACCTTTTAGCACCGCTGACTCGTACAGACGGCCCTGGCTTATTGGTGCAGTGAAAAACCCTGCTCTCCATCAGAACGCTCACTAAACATGGAGCGGCCTTAGATAAGCAAAGGTGTTCAGCATCGAGTGGACAGAGAGAGAGAGAGAGAGAAGATCGATGATAAGAAGCGTAAATAAAAAATGGTCTCCAGCACTTCAGGGAATTGATGGGCTTTACAGCTTTAAAATTCTCTCCATGCTTCGGGGGGAAAAAAGCACGGATGAAAAATGGATGCAGGTTGTAATATTGATGTTTCAGTGCCATAAACACAGCATTCTCTTCTCTCACACAGTGATTCTCTTCTTTTGCTCATTTGCTCCCTGTTTTCGCCAGTTTTCCTGCAGGCTAGGTTGCTGTTTAGGCCGCTGTGGGTTGAGATTTGAACCTGTTTGTGGTGTTTGGCCAATACTGTAGAGCTCTGTTGTGGTGGTTGAGGAATATTAGGGGCAATATGGCAAATTTCAGAGTGAATGAGTTCTCTGGTAAAGGAACCATATCACTGTTGTCATAAGAAAACCTTGTATCTCCAAAGTGGTAAACTTTACAGAAAAAGAAAAAACCTACTTTACTTTTAATGTAAGTCAATGGAACCAGATTTTTTTCGAAGTCATTTTGGGCCATTTCTTTCCATTCATCATGAAATTTATACACAATGTACAGAACAACAGGTATTTTCAAATTATGACGTCAAAATGGAGATAACAGGTTTTCATCCGAAAGCAGCGATATGTACCTGTATTGTGTGGACTGTTGGCAGAATTTTCTGTTTATCAAGGCTCCCTCATTCAAAAATCATCTGTTCACAACTTAATAAATGAATTAATTTAAAATATATAGGCAGTCAGACGTACTTGCTGATACATCTTTTTGCCAGCTGCTCAGTTACAAAAGGCTCAGTTTATGTTTTTCCTATCTTTTATACACTGAGATCCAGATGTCATACAATGATTACAATGTTTAACTTTCCAGTTTGCTTTGTAAACAGCCTTTTTTTAACCCTTGTGTAATGTTAATCTGTTCGTTACTCAGTGATCTGTTGACCCACAGCATAACAATCTATGTAAAAATACCAGATGTTTAAAATATCACAAGTGTCCAATGTAGGGTTCTCCTTTAGCAGCTGTAGCCAGTCAGCAGCCTGTCCATGTTGGTCACCCTCACACACACACACACACACACACACACACACACACACTGACAGCAGGCCATGTAGGAGTGAAGGACACAGCACCTCCACACTTTTACTCCCCGCGGGTTCACCCAACACCACATGTGTAATATAAATGTGTGGGGGGGTGAACAGAGTGAAGACCCTGAAAATGGGATAGTTTATATGTTCTTCACAGAAAATGAGCAAAGGCCAAGAATCTGTAATAAATTGCATATTTTTTTCTTTTCGTAAACATTGAAAATGGGTCCCACAGACCCCAACACCACACAAGGGTTAATACGATTACCATTAACAGAATGCTGATTTCCGCTAGCACCCCTATGGGATATCATACTGAGCTTTGGCTTAAATACGATATTTGAAACATGTCACCGACATTTGTATGAAATATTTTTATTTATATAGTTTTACAGTGACTTTTTCAGTAAAGGCCAAACATTAAAGCCCTTCTCTGAATATTATCGGAGGAGTCTGTTAGCCTGTTATATATCTGCTGTACTGTTTAACGGACTGTAATGAGGGCGGAATATAGACAACATAGAGCAGCGTAGACCAGTTACAGTGAGCCTTAACATCCAGAAGTCTCATAATATTTTTAACAAGCTCTTTTGGGTAATTGGTGCTGAGCATGTGAGGGAGCATGTTGGAGTCCACAGTCCATTCCGAGAAAAAAAAAAAACTGAGATAGAGAAAAATGATACAGTAATTACAGACATAATGATAATTAAGGGACTTTACTTTGTACGCTTACACACAATGTTTGTAAAAATCCCATTCCCTTATGGCAACTTATGCTACTGTTGGTGAGTAATATAAATGTAACAAGTAAAATATGTTTCCAAAGCAGCAAAGTAATATTTGAATGTTATTGCAAACCTCAAATGCAAATGAAACAGAAAGGGATGGTTTATAAATTCAACCTGACCTGTATTTAAATAAAAAAACAGTGCAAAGGCAATATATTTAATGTTTTATCTTATCAGCTTCATTGTTTTGTAAATGTACGCTCATTCTGAATGTTCCAAAAAGTTTAGACAGGGGTTATGTAAGATGAAAAACCTTGTGAAATGTTCAAAAACATCATAAAGAGCTGATGCAGTCATGCTTGAGTATAAAAGAAGCATCCAGGAAAGGCAAGGTTGTTTATGAGCAAGGATGTGTTGACACTCATCACTTTGCCAAGAATGTGTCTGTAAAGAAACAACATTCCTCAACAAGTGATTACAAGCATTTTAGATATTTCTCTACACTGAATAATATGGCCAAAAGATTGAGGAAATCCAGAGAAACCTCCGTGCATGAAGGACAAGGCACTAAACCATACCTGAATGCTTGTGACCTTCGATGCACAGGCAGCACTGCAGTAAAAACCTGCGTGCTTCTGTGATGGATATGACCCTATGGGCTCGGAGATACTTTGAAAAATAATTGTCAGTAAACTCCATCTGCCGCTGCATCCACAATTGCTGGTTATGACACAGCACAGAGAAAGCCATACTGAACAGCATACAGAAACGCCGCCGACTTCTCTGGGCTCGAGCTCAGCTGATGTGGACTGATACAGTGGAAACTTGTATTGTGGTCCGATGAGTCAACTTTAGATTGTTCATAGAAATAGAAATACCCTGTATGGTTGCACAGCTGAGGACTTCTTCAGAAAAGAGGAATGTTTATTAAATGTCAAAAGAAAAGGTGATGTAAGACAGTGGTAAACATGTTCCCGTTCCAACTTTTTTTAAACGTATTGCAGGCATCAAATTTGGAATGAGGGAATATTTGCCAAAAAAAAAAAAATAGTTTATAAGCTAAAACATCAAACATCATGAATAGTGAATTTACAAATCACTGCTGTTTTTTATTAGCATTTCAAATATTCTCTCAACTTTTTTGTAATTGAGGTTTGTATGAGAGTCGTCACATATGTATTAAATGAAAGAGGAGCATTACTTAGAGGCTGTTCTTCATTGACAGTTGCAGATTTATCTGTGTGTCTATGTAAAACAGGCTCACGAGCGGTTTGAGGAGCCGAAGCTGGAGGCTGTGAGGGACAATAACGTGGAGCTGGTGCAGGACATCCTGAAAGACCTTACGTCCCTCACCAACCACAGCCAGACCGCACACGAACTCGCCTGCATACTCAGAGAGCCACACTTCCAGGTACAACCCGACAAACCCACACACACACATCCGTGCTTTGAAACCAGCATAACCCACCATGCTCTATTCTGATTGGTTCGCAGTCACTACTGGAAACACATGACTCTGTGGCCTCCAAAAGCTATGAGACTCCGCCCCCCAGCCCCTGTGCCTTCATGGACCCTGCCCTTAACAACCAGCCCGTCCCCCCTGATGCGGTCAGGATGGTCGGCATCCGCAAAGTTTCTGGAGAACACTTGGTAACCTAGATTCATTTTAATATAGGCTACGCAGGAAAGACCTACAGGCATTATAAGCAATCACAGTACAGAAACAGTTTATTGCCATGAAGGGCATTTTATCATATTCAATTTTTAATTCATATTTAATCTTCAATCACTGCAGATACATATTTAAAATAGGCTTAATAAGAGTGACATTTAGGCCTTATAAGCGTTCACACAGTTTATAGCTCTGAAGAGTGAATGAGACATATTAGAGAAGTGATATGAACGATATTTTAATCATATTCATTTTCATCTTCATACCAGATCGGTGCTGAATTTATAAGCATAACTGTTTATGACCATAAGCTATAATAATTTTGTAATGAATTAAATTTTTGTTTTCCTATCAGATTAATATTTAATATAGGCTAAGAGTGACATAGAGGTGTTGTGACAGTTTATGACCCATGATTCAGGTAATTCTTGCTGCCTTGTCTACATTTTCAGGGCGTGACGTTCCGTGTGGAGGGGGGTGAGCTGGTGATTGCGCGGATCCTGCACGGAGGAATGATTGACCAGCAGGGCCTCCTGCATGTAGGTGATGTCATCAAGGAGGTGAACGGCAAGGAGGTGGGAAATGACCCCAAAGTGCTGCAGGACATGCTGAAGGAGGCCAGCGGCAGCGTGGTGCTCAAAATCCTCCCCAGCTACCAGGAGCCACACACGCCCCGCCAGGTCAGCAGAGTACATACATGTGAAGTTTTGGACTATATATATTGTCACTGTCCAAAGAAAAACATCTGTCTCCAAAATAGTAACTTTACAGGAGAAGGCAAAAATATTCTTAACTTACTGTGCAAGTTAATGGAAAGAAATTTTATTCCAAGCAATTTTGGAACATTTCTATTGGTCCATTAATCTTGAAATTTTCACACAGTGTGTAAAATATATACACCAATCAGGCATAACATTATGACCACCTCCTTGTTTCTACACTCATTGTCCATTTTATCAGCTCCACTTACTATATAGGTGCACTTTGTAGTTCTACAGTTACAGACTGTAGTCCATCTGTTTCTCTGCATACTTTGTTAGCCCCCTTTTACCCTGTTCTTCAGTGGTCAGGACCCCCATGGACCCTCACAGAGCAGGTACTATCTGGGTGGTGGATCATTCTCTGCACTGTAGTAACACTGACGTAGTGGTGGTGTGTTAGTGTGTGTTGTGCTGGTCTGAGTGGATCAGACACAGCAGTGCTGCTGGAGTTTTTAAACACCTCAGTGTCACTGCTGGACTGAGAATCGTCCACCAACCAAAAATATCCAGCCAACAGCGTCCTGTGACCACTGATGAAGGACTAGAGGATGACCAACACAAACTGTGCAGCAGCAGATGAGCTATCGTCTCTGACTTTACATCTACAAGGTGGACTGACAAGGTAGGAGTGTCTAATAGAGTGGACAGTGAGTGGACACAGTGTTTAAAAACTCCAGCAGCACTGCTGTGTCTGATCCACTCAGACCAGCACAACACACACTAACACACCACCACTACGTCAGTGTTACTACAGTGCAGAGAATGATCCACCACCCAGATAGTACCTGCTCTGTGAGGGTCCATGGGGGTCCTGACCACTGAAGAACAGGGTAAAAGGGGGCTAACAAAGTATGCAGAGAAACAGATGGACTACAGTCTGTAACTGTAGAACTACAAAGTGCACCTATATAGTAAGTGGAGCTGATAAAATGGACAATGAGTGTAGAAACAAGGAGGTGGTCATAATGTTTTGCCTGATTGGTGTATATATATATATATATATAGTTCATTGAGTTCAACAACTATGCAAATGCAAGTCATGTCCAAATATTGTACTGTTTTCTAGGTATTTTGACTTATTTGTTAAAAATCAGTTGCTTACCATAGCAGAGTGAAAACATCAGTGCGTCCAAAATCTCCTTTTAAGACCCTACATGTATTATAAATAAAGGCCATTCTGAAAACCCCTTAACATGTTCTATTGGCTCCATTAGACGAATAGCGCTTGGACCCCGATGGTTGCCACTTGTGGTAATTTAGCTCTCAGCAGTTACACCAGTCCACAAAAATAAACGTCTTCTATCAATTTCACACATAAAATAAACACATTATGCACATTTACACATTACACATTAACCTTTTTGTCACCCACCATTTGAAAGCTACTGAATGAAGAAGAAAAAATAAAACCGACAGTATCTATGGTATATAGTATCTATGGGTTGGCTGAATAATGACCGTGAATTGCTGCTGTGATGTGTTCACGGGGAGGAGGGATTCTCTCTCACAGATCTCTGTTTGCAGAGGTCGGCCCCCCACTTTCTGAAAACTACAGACTCATCAAATCTACACAGTTCACACGATCGGCATATTCAGCATTCAAAGCAGCGAATATCACTGAAGGCGACGTGTTTTCATGCACGATACAAGTTTGGAAACGAAAGCAGGAGTGCAGTGTTTGGGGTTTTTCATGGCTGATTCTGATTCTTATTTCTTTCACTGCCAAACTGGCTGATGTCCAAATATTTGGGTGATTTTTATTAGTCTTTTTTAATCAGAAGCTCACACTCTGTGGGCTAAATGAACAAAAGAAACACACCGTCACATTTTTAGTGCTTTTTTTTAGCCAGTCTGCAACACAACAGGGTGATTCAAAAAGATTCATCTGATTTCAAAATGATTTATTTCACTTGTAAATCATTACAGGACGATGCAGTGAACTGTAAATGGTTTAAATGAGGATGAAGTTGATTATGTAATTTTACAAGTGCTCAATATGAACCTCCTGTCGCTGCACTCACGGCTCTTTCAGTGTGTTTTCGGAGATGATCCAGTGTTGTTGGGAGTGGCACATAAACAGAATCCTTAACGTTCCCCCCACAAAAAAATTCACACGGCGTGAGATCTGGTGATGCTGGTGACCTTTCTCTTGAAACTGTTGGTACCAATGACGAATGCTCTGAGACCTCCTCTTTCAATTGGATTGTGATTGGTTCCTATGCGCCTCACGGTTGTAAAAATAAATCGGATGAATCTTTTGGAATCACCCTGTATTTGTTCTTTAATGGCCCAAACTGGCATTTTAATATTTTGTCGTTTTAAATCAGCTGCCTATTTAAGTATCATTAATCAAATAAAGTGCTGCGTTGACAGTAAGAGGCAGCTGGCTTTTTAATACAATAAGTCATGTATAATAATGCTATTACAATGCTGGTACAGGTGTAGCAGCACTCAAATACACGGAATGCACTTACCTGTTATTTACACCCTAGAATTGCAACACAGATCTGCCAAAATAAAACAATACATTTCTGCCAATTTAATTTTTTAATTCAAAATCTGATCTTGGCCGATTGTGATTGTGCATCCCTAAACAACAGGTTTTATTTATTTATGGCGTTAATATTGGCGCCCATTTTGGTCATGTTTTTTCTCTTAGGCTGAAATTTCACAGTCCTTTAGTTTGGAGTCCTGAGCTGGATTAGAGATGGGTAGTGTTGCCTAAAGTCAAACTCAAGTTAAATTATCTATACTTGGGTAAAATAATGAGTAAAAGTAAAAGTACTCTGTTTACTGCTTATATGATACAGTGAAAACCTGCCACACACACATTCTCTAAGCCATTTATCCTTCTGGGTCGCAGGGGGTGCTGGAGCCTATTCTAGTGGTCATTGGGTGGAAGGCAGGATATACCCTGGACAGTCGCCAGTCTATCGCAGGGCAGACAGACAGACATAACCTGCCACCTTAGCATGTAATATAATTGATGCACCTGCTTGTATGTGTACATATTCGATATTTTACAGCGAAGCTATCCATTTTATGAAGGCCAATTCAGAGCTCATGAAGAAACACTAAAACGTCTGTTGAAGGCACCAAAGAAGCAGTGCAGAGAGGAGATTCTCTCGCGTCTTTGGTCTGCACTGTTTTTTTATTTAAAACAGTGAAAAATAAATCGGAAATGAAATATCTTACGGCAGCAGCCTTTTTGGGTTAACTTTGAGAAGTTTGTGTTGGAACGGATGAGCTCCGGCAACATTTGACCAAAAAAAACTCTTCACAAACTGTCCCCTGCTGCTGGGACGCAAGTTGGCTAGCTCAGCTTTTTAAATCGTTATTTTCGGTACCAAAACATTTCAGATACTGCCAGCTTTGGACTTTTTGCATGCTGGGACATTTCGCCAAGGCTTGGCATCACTCGCCTTGGTAGGAAGCCCATAAGAACGTCCAAGCGTGGTTCATTTCATGAAAATTTCTTGGAACTGTAAACCTCTCAGTGGACCTCTCTGTAACAGAAGCGAAGCCCCCGTTTAAAGTAATAGTTCAGCAACAAACTAATTGTACACAGTTTTTCCCTTAGCTCAAGCGCTGATGGTCAGCCAAGATGTTTCGCATATGTGGTTTTCGTCTTTAGTTTTGCTCTAGAGCTGCATAAGAAGTGGCAGCATAGCTAAAAGAGTAGTAGCAGCCATCTTGAAGGCTTTATACGTTTGTCTATTCTTATCTAAAGTAGCATGTCATACAGCAGGCATGTCACACTGGGGACCTTCCAGGCCAAAGTGCTGCGGAGATCAGGGTTTACCCTCATCTTACGCTCTCAATTCAGTTCATGAAGGCCTTGCTAATTAGCTGATGAGCTAATTCAGGTGTGTTTAAGGAGGCGTCACATTGCTGTTCTTCAATTATGTCACACTACAAGGCCTGTTCATGGTTCCCCACGCTCATTTTCAGGCCCGACGCTGGAAATTTGTCATCTGCGGCGAAATCGTGTCAAAATCAGGCTGAATTCATGTAGACTGATCCTGACATTGCTGACTACTGATGAATGGCGTAGAGGGGAGCAGTATGTAGACCACTTGTTGAGGCCTTATAACGTGCCAGAAAGGCCTACATTGCTTACATTAGAATGTTATCATTATTGTTAGTGGTAGCAAAGTCCTTATAAGAAAATCAGTACGCTCAGCTGCCATCTTGGCAACGCCACCAGGCAGTTATTTCCACTCAAACAAGATGAGACTGCTGTCTCTCTGAATGAGGAGAGACAACCTAAAACAAAACAACCTAAAAAAAATTCCGATTTCAAACAGATTTGAGATCACTGATCAAATCTGACAATAGTCTCTTAAATAGTTTGTAGCATTTGGGTTAACATAATGCACAAAAACACTCCATAACCGAGGGAAGCTTTTCCACTTGTGGCTTTATCAGCAACCTGATTGGCTCTATTTATTGAAGAGCAGAACTTTCTCTGGAAAATTTAGGGAGATGACCACATAGCTGACGTTACGTATTGCTAACTCTGATTGGTACTTTGGCAGATAATAGTCGTGAAAATGAGTACAAAGAGGCTTGAAGTCTGTGGTAACTACGTCTTGCTATTCCTAAATCCTTTGAGCTGTCAAACACGCTGTACCTTATTATGGCAAATCAAATTAAGTTTTGAGCTCCATAATTTGTTTTTTTATTTAATGTCTGTGAAATATTTATTCGTTTTATAAAAATATAATAAAAACTGCTTGGGGGGAATTTTCCATACACTTTTGCCTCAGTGCTTCGTAGCAACATTGCACTGGAGTACGGGGGGCCGTGGTTGCCATGGTGACAAGATTTCGGCTCTCGCACTCCCTTACCCATCCTTCCTTCCATTTCCCCTAGTTTTTTTTTTATTATTTCTGCTTTTCTTCCTCTCCCCTCCCTAGCTGACAGCCTTCTGCCCGGCACAAACGTCATTCAGTTCTGTTTAGCCATTGCACACCGAAGCACAGTGAGACTGTTAGCGAGTGTATCTGTGGACATGAATGTGTAAAGGTGTGTTTATAGCTAATAGTGTGTGTATATGTGGTGATGTACCGACCAGTGGTTTAGCCAGAGTCTCATTTAGGAGGGCCTGGTTACAGGTTGAGGGGACCAGGCCACAAGTATTAAAAGAGCCCAAATCATGGAAAAATATTTGTCTTGCTTTTTTATTTAAAAAAGAGTTTGACGTAGTACACCGGTCAGGCGTAACATTATGACCACCACCTTATTTCTACACTCAATGTCCATTTTATCAGCTCCACTTACTATATAGGTGCACTTTGTAGTTCTACAGTTACAGACTGTAGTCCATCTGTTTCTCTGCATACTTTGTTAGCCCCCTTTTACCCTGTTCTTTTGTGGTCAGGACCCCCATGGACCCTCACAGAGCAGGTACTATTTAGGTGGTGGATCATTCTCAGCACTGCAGTAACACTGACGTGGTGGTGGTGTGTTAGTGTGTGTTGCGCTGGTCTGAGTGGATCAGACACAGCAGTGCTGCTGGACACCTCAGTGTCGCTGCTGGACTGAGAATAGTCCACCATCCAAAAATATCCAGCCAGCAGCGTCCTGTGGGCAGCGTCCTGTGACCACTGATGAAGGACTAGAGGATGACCAACACAAACTGTGCAGCAGCAGATGAGCTATCATCTCTGACTTTACATCTACAAGGTGGACTGACAAGGTAGGAGTGTCTAATAGAGTGGACAGTGAGTGGACACAGTGTTTAAAAACTCCAGCAGCACTGCTGTCTGATCCACTCGTACCAACACAACACACACTAACACACCACCACCTTATCAGTGTTACTGCAGTGCTGAGAATGACCCACCACCCAAATAGTACCTGCTCTGTGAGGGTCCATGGGGGTCCTGACCACTGAAGAACAGGGTAAAAGGGGGCTAACAAAGTATGCAGAGAAACAGATGGACTACAGTCTGTAACTGTAGAACTACAAAGTGCACCTATATAGTAAGTGGAGCTGATAAAATGGACAATGAGCGTAGAAACAAGGAGGTGGTCATAATGTTATGCCTGACCGGTGTATGTAAACATTGTTAAAGTTTCCAACCATACCGTTCACTCCATATTCCATACAGTCCATATGCAGAAACTAAGCTGCAAAAGTCTGTGGGGCTTGGTTGCTAGATGGGGTGATGAGGTGGCGTAGGCCACCCAGGCCCCTCTATAGTCTCCCCCTTGGTACAAAAGGGTGACTACGGAATAAATGAGCAGTGAGACATAACAAGTTCAGGTGGTCTGTGCTCTGTGGTGTATAAAAATTCTAATCAGGTTCAATATGACCTCAGTCTGTTTGTGTGTTTTTGTGTGGGTGCTCTCTCAGGCCTTTGTGAAGTGCCACTTTGACTACGACCCGGCTCATGACAACCTGATCCCCTGTAAAGAGGCCGGCCTTCGGTTCAGCAGCGGAGACATCCTGCAGATCTTCAACCAGGAGGACCCCAACTGGTGGCAGGTCTGTATGTGTGTACAGCTCTGTGCTGCCTTTCCTATATTTAATTTCCTGTTAAAATGGCCATTAAGAACAAGGTATTCATTTTTCAGGGGATATTTCTGAGATTAGCTGTAAGTCTTTCAAAACTGAGAGGAGAAAATCAAGCTGCTTCAGATCTGAAAACATCCACAGGTGTTTCTGTCCATCCTTCCACTGTGAGAAGACCACTCAGCGCTATGGGTCTGAAAGGATGTGTAGCTGTTCAAGAAGAACCTCACTGAGAAAAGGAGACGGACACACCAAACAAAGAAGTTGAACAATGGACTGACCACCCCAGAGTCCTTCAGTTGTTTAGAAGCAGAAAACCAACTTCTAAGACTGAACTTTAAAGATGTGGAAAATTATCCCCACAGATTTCTTTCAAAGACTGAAAGCGAGTCTCCTGCAAAGAATGGAAAGGCAAATTGTGGACATAATAAATACTGAAAATCTGATATATGTAGTTGTTGAGGTATAAATCCTGTAAAATATAGGTTTTAATTTTTTTTACATGCTATAATAATGGTAGTAGTAGAAGTAGTTCATAGGCATGTCTAGCCCCTTTTTAGGCTCAGGCACCCCTAAATTGAGTCCTAGCACCCCTAAAAATAAGAGTAAAAAGTCATTTTTTGTTGTTTTTCTGAGAAACGGAAGTTCCACCACTTTCTCTCTCCTACCCTTCCCCAACCCGCTCTCCCCGAAGCTGTGCAGTAGCTGCACTGATCACACACACACGCATGCGTTAGAGCCAGTTACAGTATGACTGTGTGGTCTGGTGGCTCCAGTAAGCAGCGCAGACGAGGATTTCTTATCACTCAGCACCAACACATTAAAATCATTAGCAGCAGTCCTCATTTCTGCTGCACTGAATCACAGATCACTCTTTATGTTGTTATAGGTAGGAGTTAGCTATCCAGTGCAAGCTGATACTGCAGGTTGTCAATCAATGACCGTCCACTGTTTGAATTAGAATAAGAGAAGCTAGCTGTTGTGCCGTTGGTCGGCCTGTGTGTTGATATAAAAGCTGAGGTGCTACACTGGTGCTGTCTGTAGGGGGGTAGGGGGGTGCTGGTCTCATTGGGTGACAGGCACCCCTAAAGCTCTGATCCTAGAATCGCCCCTGGTGTAGTTAATGGCCGTTTTGACTGGAAGTTCTCTGACTTTTGCACAGCACTGTGCGTATGTGACAGAGAGTAATGTGTGGTTGCTCCTTTAGCAGTAGTGTCCTCACACAGCAGCATCCTCTGTTATTGATGTTAGCTCCTCTTTAAACCATCAGTTTGCGTATTTGTTGTCATTGGTTAATTGGTCAACACTGTCACTGACTCACTTGGTCCTGCTTTACCTTACGGAGTCAATAAGCTAAGGGTTCATTTAACCGTTAAACACTGAAATGTCATTACAGTTAAGAAGAGACCATTTCTGATGAAATATGCAGCGTGTGGTTAACAAAACAATCGCCAGTTATGTTTTGGGTCCACAAACTTTCGAGGGTGGTGTTGAACGTTGGTGCATCTCTGTTTGCGCTGCAGGCGTGTCATCTGGAGGGCGGCAGTGCGGGACTGATCCCCAGCCAGCTGCTGGAGGAGAAGAGGAAGGCCTTCGTGAAGAGAGATCTGGAGCTCAGCACTGCAGGTACGAGCACAGCACTGCTCTCATCTGACCACTAGATCCGGCTCCACTTGCGGTCAAAAAGAACTGCTCAACGGTGTCGATCACTGATAGACGCCAACAAACGAATGCAAACATAATAGACCAAGAATTTTCATTCTTAGTAATAGAGGTGTGGACTCGAGTCATATGACTTGGACTCAAGTCAGGCTCAAGTCATGAATCTGATGACTTGAGACTCCACTTTGACTTGATCACCAATGACTTGGACCTGAGTGTCATGACTCTCGGAAAGACTCGAGACCCAAAGTGGAAGAAACGTGGAAGGTATCTGACCGCAGACGAGACTCTACACAGTCACCTCCTTCTCATGCGAATGGATTCGTTTCCTGTCGTAAATGTAACGGACAGCAGCGTCCTCAAATGTCTGTCACTGTGTTTATGCTCGGCTTATTTTATTTCGAAAGACAAGAGAAGCGTTAGAGTTCAAGTTCGCCTCTGTAAGCTAGAAACAAGCGAAGCATCAAGAGCATCAACCAGAAACTTACTGGAGAAACTTACCAGGCACACCGATCATTTTCCTCATGGTAGCTAAACAAAAGAAACAGCGTCTCTGTTTGAACAATTTTGTCTGTTTCTGGAGGCAAAACAAGCGTAGCTTTCAGCACGAGGCTGAGGTTGACTTTCTATTTGCCTGCTTCTTATTTGAATTTTCCGTTCCAGCTTAAACGGTGCCGCAGTTAGACGCTGGAATGTAACTGCTCCACCATTTAAGGTGGAACGGAAAATTCAAATAAGAAGCAGGCAAATAGAAAGTCAACTGCAGCTTCGTACCTTCATTTTGCTGTCTTTTCTGTAAACTTTGTTCAGCTCGTTCGTTTTGGTTTCTGTTGTTGTCTAAATTCAGTTCAAACTTGCGGCTGTTTTTAGTTTTAGTTTAGTGCTACACAGGTTTTTATTTTAATCCCAATGCTCCCAAAAATCGTCAGAAATTATCTTCAAATATATATAATTTTTTCTAAATTAATTTTAGTAGTACTTTGAAAATTCTTTTAATGTGTAGTTGCATTACTCTTTACTCGTTATGTCCGTCATGGTTATCTGCATACCATGGATTTTGTATTTTATTGGGAAGGATAATAAATAAATAAATAAATGAATGAATGAATGAATGAATGAATAAAATACAGCCACACACTCCTAACATGCTGTCATTACAAGGCTGTTCTACTGTTACCATCATTTTTGGTGTCCAGTGTTGAACTTGAATTGAGACTCGACTGTTTTGACTTGACTCAGGACTCGAATGTCAAGACATGAGACTTTTACTTGTTACTTACAGCTTAGTGACTTGTTCTCTCACCTCTGCTTAGTAATTAATAGAATCTTATTAAATTGCATGTTTTATTAAAATGAACAGTCAGTTAATCTTAAATAGAAACACATAATGGAGCCCAAAACATAATTGCATTTGCCATAATAAGCTAACGCCCCATTCACACAGTGTTCTGAAGCAGAGGATTTCTAATGAGAACGAGGGCCACTTCTGAGTGGTCGGACACTAGAGGGCACTCTTGAGACGGTCCACAATGGGGAGCTTTTTTCGCAAAATGAAATGTAAAAACGGTCAAATATTGTCAACAGACAAAGGCACTCAACACATTTGTCAACACTGCGGTCCTCTTTTCGAACAAAGAACAGTGCATTCATGACGTCACTGAGCGCAAACAACTTCACTCAGCCAAACAGCTGATCATCTCACCAACCAATCAGCACTCATTAGCAGTAATGCTACTGTCTAAAATCCTGCTTGCTGTAGAAAAACAGAGAAGTACTGATAGATATTGATTGTCAGTATAATACATTCTTCTCCTTCTCAAAATTTTTTTTCGCATTTCGCAGACGTGTTTTTCTGTTTAGACAGTATTCAATTGACGTTTCCGCATAACCTGGGAAGAGCCGTCCTGTAGCACATTTCATTAGCATAATGTGTTTTAGCAGTCAATTAGTGTGTTTCCATGCACTTAATGATCTGATAATAAGATTTTCAGCGTGTTTACATGCACTTGGGTAACCAGATAATGGGAAAACTCCTGGTCTACTCAGTAATCGAGTTTTTGGCGACCAGCCAATAACCTCAGAGAATGAAACGTGACGTAAACTTGACGTAAACATCAAACGTCACACCTTCACTTTTACTTTACCAGAAAATGAATATACGTCATCCAGAATATTACGTTTAAATAAATTCTTTAATATTTAAATTTCTTGTATGTGGTTACTTTTTAGCATCACCCCAAAAGCGGTTTGTTGACGTCTCGCGGGTGCTGTGTTAAACGCTGTGTGCCGTTTCGGAGACAGTGGTCTGTTTTCGCACATGAGCAGACTGAGGAAAACGAAAGAAATCAGAGTAATGGTATACATCGAAGGCGTAGCCGGTGGGGTGGCCAGTGCCACCCGAGAATTAAGCATGACCACCCCCGTTATGGGGTACTATCTGTATTCTTTTTACAGCTGAATATGTGCATGTCTTAAAGGTTACCTTAGACAGTGCTACCTTGTTAGCTTCCCTAGCAAGAAAAGCCTAAATTAATAACTTCTAGAGTCTGTCTGTATGAGATGAGATGTTTTTTTCATGTTCTGATTTAATTTAATTTACTTGATTCAAATACACTATTTACTCATAAATGAATACAATATTTTACATCAACACAGCTTTGTCTTTCAGTTCACTTTCAGCAATAGTTGTATTGATGTACTGTTTTATTCAAATGGAAGTTATCGACAGATTTAGTTATGCACAGAATAAAAACATCACTTTTTATGTCATTTTAATAAAGTAACCATATTTTATTTAGCTTTTGTTCCGAGCAGTGTGCCACCCCAGTAAAATCTCTGGGCCTTTCCCATGCTAACAGCTCTAGCTACACCCCTGGTACTCCATTACTGAGCTAAAATCCAGCTCTCCTTATTGGATTTCTAGAAATCTGATAATAGCCTTAGTCTGATCTGGGAAACTGGAGTGTGCTGGTTACATGACAACTTGAATAAGCAGATAACTGCTGAAATCTGATAATGGTCATATTATTGGTGTGCATGTGCACTCAGTGCTGGCTATGGCTTCCAAATCAAGATATCTAGAAAAAGTCAGTTTGATTGGCGGTGTTGATCCGTGCCAAATAGATCCAGATTATGCATTATTGCCCGTGATTACATATCCAGGCATCTATAATTACTTTAAATACAGCTAAAAGCATACAAATCACTATAATCATATGATTATTATAAGTAATAGCTGCATATCTATGTTTGATGGGGTTAATCAGTGTTAGCTTGGTGTTAGCTTAAGTTATGTGCGCCCTCTTAGTGGTTTTAGGCATGCAGTTAGCAACATGCTAATTGGTGCTGTACACCGATCAGGCACAACATTATGACCACCTCCTTGTTTCTACGCTCATTGTCCATTTTATCAGCTCCACTTACTATATAGGAGCACTTTGTAGTTCTACAGTTACAGACTGTAGTCCATCTGTTTCTCTGCATACTTTGTTAGCCCCCTTTTACCCTGTTCTTCAGTGGTCAGGACCCCCATGGACCCTCACAGAGCAGGTACTATTTGGGTGGTGGATCATTCTCAGCACTGCAGTGACACTGATGTGGTGGGGGTGTGTTAGTGTGTGTTGCGCTGGTATGAGTGGATCAGACACAGCAGTGCTGCTGGAGTTTTTAAACACCTCAGTGTCACTGCTGGACTGAGAATAGTCCACCAACCAAAAATATCCAGCCAACAGCGTCCTGTGGGCAGCGTCCTGTGACCACTGATGAAGGACTAGAGGATGACCAACACAAACTGTGCAGCAGCAGATGAGCTATCGTCTCTGACTTTACATCTACAAGGTGGACTGACAAGGTAGGAGTGTCTAATAGAGTGGACAGTGAGTGGACACAGTGTTTAAAAACTTCAGCAGCACTGCTGTGTCTGATCCACTCAGACCAGCGCAACACACACTAACACACCACCACCATGTCAGTGTTACTGCAGTGCTGAGAATGATCCACCACCCAAATAGTACCTGCTCTGTGAGGGTCCATGGGGGTCCTGACCACTGAAGAACAGGGTAAAGGTGAATGCAGTGAGAAAAAAACATGAGCACAGTGCTGAAAGAGGCCTCGCCGAGCTCATTAATCCTTCGACTGACTGTCAGATCAACACAACTGCAACTTTTGCCTCATGCTAATGCTGATCCTGGTGTGACTCGTCTCCTTCTTGATGCTGCACAATAAAAAATAACACATCGAACATTCGCTCCTCTCAACCTCAAAGCTTTGTGAAACTAACGCTGCTCTGTTTTGTGGGGCGGCTGCTTTATGAAGCGAATGCTCATTAAGACGGCTGTGCGTTTGTCATGATGTCATTTCAATTGAGGAAAAGCTAACATCGCCCTCTACTGGCACGTGCGCAAGCTCAAGTTGATGTTAATGTATTAAAGACTTCTGTCCCTCCACTCACTACCGTAGAGGTACGTTATATACAACCTTAAAAAAGATGGTTCTTCAAGGGTTCTTTAGTATAGAAGATGGTTCTGTTTAGGACCATGAGTTTCATATAGAACCACTTCATGCTTTGCATGGTGAAATGGTTCTTCTGATTGATGGAGAATGTGTTGTATGTGGTTCAGTCTAGCACCAAAAAGGGTTCTGTTACTGTTACGATGTTAAGCTTGTAACAACGGCAGAACCCTTTTTGATGCTATATAGAACCATTTTCAAAAAGGTTCTATATAGAACCATATTACAACACATTCTCCATCAGTCTGAAGAACCATTTCACCATGCAAAGAACGCTTCAAGCACGAAATGGTTCTATGTAGAGTTAAATACATTTTCTTGGCTATAGAACCCTTGAAGAACCATTTTTTTAAGAGTGTAGGTGTTCATTTAAAGATTTTAACTCATCGTTGCTGCACGTTATCAACCTCTTTCTACTACGTTCATTGGTCCGTTTCTGACCACAGAGCTGCTATCTGGTCAACCAGCATCACCAGATCTGCATTAGACCAGCATAAATAAGCCATCTTAGCTTAGCATGGAGTTCACGCTGGTCTTTTCAGCAGGACAGTCACAGTCACAGCACAGCGGATGGTAGCGGTCAGTGTCACTGCTAGGTCAACCCAAAAATATCCAGCCAAGAGCAGCTCTGTGGTCAGAAACTGACGAATGGTGACGTGCTGGAGGACGGCTAACACAAATTATGATCAACCAGTGGGCTACAAGTCATAAAGTATGGGTTTCTAATAAAGTGGCCAGTAGAATAATAATATGTGTTACTATTTTAACCACTATTATTATCATTATTGTCTATATTACCTGAGTCTGTGCTGATGTCTGCAGGACCTCTGTGTGCAGGCATGGGGGGGAAGAAGAAGAAGAAAATGATGTACCTGACCACCAAAAACGCAGGTAACTCTTGTGTGCTGCCTGGCTGTCCTCGCTCCTTGTCTTCCTGTCCTCCAGTGTCTTCTCCGGTGTCGTTGAGTTCAAGCTGCTGTTTGTGCTGTCTGTGTTTGAGAGCTGGCCGGTGCTGCTAGCACCGCGAAACCATGTTGTTTTGTGTCTTCCACCATGTGACTACAAGGAAGGATACTGACCAGTGACCACTAATAGACCTCTGAAGTCATGCATCATTCTGTAGTCTGTGTCGGGTCTGTATTAGGAACTCCGGGTCTAAGTAGGTTTTCTCTATGGGAAAAATGAATGTCGTTTTTGAAAATTGCTGCTATGACAAAGACAAATGTTAGAAACCCTGATACATTTTGTTCTGTGTACTGAATGTCACAAGATTCTTTGATTTATAGAGGTGTTTAGTAGCCAGAAGCATTCATTTCTACACCCATGCTACAAGCAGCAAACTCTCCTGTGCATATTTCTCGGACAAACTAACATATTCACACATTGTCCACTGAGGAGAAAATACTTTTTGATGACCTGCCCTCATCAGCACCCAGTGCAACCGGCTAGCTGTAGTTGTAGCTCATCTGAAGAGGCAGCCTCAGTTATTTTTCAGTTATTTGCTGTTAACTGAAGTCTGGGCGATATTATATTTTCTCATTAAAAATCCCAATTATCGATACCCCAACAGACATGGTTCACTGCAGCTTTTACCTACTTTCTAACTTTCTGTTTTCAGTTTATGTGTTTGTTTTACTTGTTTTTATGAAAATCTTTTTTTTTAATTGCATATTGAACAGTATAATACTGAGTAACCCAACACCTTTTGAAAAAAATCACATCACCTTTTGTTTTAATAGATGTTACTTCAAATCTGTGCTCATGAGATCCTTTTAGTGCAGACTGATGGCGACTTCCATGCTAACAGTGCTCCCTGCTGGAGGAACTTCAAACTGCAACCTCTAAACGAGTGACTTCCAAAACCGACCCTTGTGATTTACCTAAAAATCGAGGAGTTTTCCGTTGTTATAACGGATTCACTCTAGAATTACTATAGATGCTTTTGGAAGAAATGTTGTCTTATACTTTTACAATTTTGGTAATTTTCATCTAAACCACCAAAACACTTTTCTAATCCCGTTTCCCGGCAGGATGTGCGGATCAGAGGAACTTGCCCTACTTTTTAGGGTTTGAGGGCTGGAGCTAGCTGCTCTAGGGTGATATATCCAGTCACTTTAGTTTGGTTGTTTTGCCAAGTCACACTGAAGCTAGTTGAAGTTGCACGTTAACATTTTTTTCGGTTCTGTGAACTCAAGCTAAGCCTACTGGGGCACATGCTTGCACACTTGTTAAAGGAACACGAACCTCAATTTCCTAATATATTTACAAGCTGTTTAACGGTGAAGTAGTCCTCTCTACTTCTCGACCAGTTTCCCAACAAGGCAACGATCGCCTTTTAAGCGTTGTCATTGGGTTACTTGTCCGTAATCGATGATTGCATCACCCTGGTCTAAACCAGATATCCGTTCATTAACTTGTGGATTTGTGGATTCATAAATATCAAAATGAGTCAGAATGCACATTCCAGTTAAACACTATTCTATAACAAAACCAGCTACTTAAACTGTGTTACTACCAAAGCAACTTCACTACCACATTTGACAAGCTTACTGGTTTGCATGGTTTATTTTGGTGAGGTTTCCAGTCTTATGATGTCAGCTGCAGTGTTAGCTTGCATGATGATACGGCAAGGTACGAAAAAAATATACCCTGCAGCTTTGGAACATTTCCGTTCACCACGTGGAGCAACAGCAGTGTCAAATAATGACATGACTTCAGATGGCTATGCCTACCAGTTTCATGTAGACAGTTTTTGGGAGCTAATCAGAACTATGGATACATCAACAAGCTGCAAACTAACAAAAGCTACAGCTAGGTGGAGCTCCAGTTCCCCTCAAGATCCTCCACTGCAGTAAGAATCCACAGAGAGCGAGAGGCTTCAGTCACAGAGCAGTTGAACTATTGATTGTATATATGATGTATGTGATATATACTCGCATTGGTTGGAACATGCAGCCGCTGTTGCTCTCACTGGATGTCAGTTCAGGTTCTGGGTTTATACAATGAAAATACAGTTGCCGTTTTTCATTTTTCATCTATGGCAAATTGTGATTTATTTATTTTTCACAACAAAAGTAAATGTGCATTATAGCGAGAGCGAGGTATGTTTGTTTGCTCAGAGTTCGACAGGCATGAGCTGCGGATCTATGAGGAGGTGGCGAAGGTTCCTCCGTTCAGGAGGAAGACTCTGGTGCTGATCGGAGCTCAGGGAGTGGGCCGGCGCAGCCTGAAGAACAAACTGCTGGTGTCAGAACCACACCGCTATGGAACCACCACACCCTGTGAGTGCCCACCCACAAAAAATACACATCTTCAAAGCAAAGTCTTGGGTTTTTAGCTCTTAAAGCAGTGACGGTTTCTTCTCTTGCTGTGTCCACAGACACGTCTCGTAAGCCTAAAGTGGACGAGAAGGAGGGGCAGATGTATCTCTTCATGTCTCGGAGTGAAATGGAGGCGGACATTAAAAACGGCCGTTTCCTGGAGCATGGGGAGTACGACGGCAATCTGTACGGCACCAAGATCAACTCCATCCACGAGGTGGTGGACTCGGGAAAAATCTGCATCCTGGATGTCAACCCACAGGTGCCGTCCTGAACCCTCACTTCATGTTGATTGGGCAGAAATTGGCCTCTTTCTTATCCCAGAATTGTGTGAGACTCATTAGGGTTGTTCGACTTAATGCTGCGCAGAACGATCGCCTTGAGATCTGCTGCCTCACGTGGGGTCTGCCAGTAAAACTATCTGGCTTGACGGCTCTCTTTTCAGCTCCTCCCCCAACTGCTACCAGCCTCTCTCTGACCGCTAAGGCGAGGTGCTGTTCATCACGAACAAGCCCAGTGACTCTGAATTGCAGCTCAATAGCACCACCTGTTGGACAGAATCTCTGAATGGAAACTTGAAAGTGATAATGTGGCCCAAAATCGAATTCACACAATTAATTTTAATTCACACCTTAATTCTACACTGTAGCTATGAGGTTTATGTAGCTCAGAAGTAATGGAAGCTTATACCCCATGAGTTAGCATGCAAACTGCTTGCTTAAGTCATCACACAGTTGCCTCAAAGCACATTGGGTTGTGAAAAGGGAATTCCACTGATTCTTCAACATTTCTGCAAAATGCAGTGGTTGAAATGGTTGATTGTAGAGACTCAGATTTCTTTACAGTAGTGGTGAATGGAACCAGGGGTCACCATGACTACAACACAGATATAGCCATTTTATTTACTATCCAAAACCACTAATAAACCTTCACGTCTTCTGAGCTTTTATATAGAATGTTGATGATGGTAAAATAGTGAAAAATCTGAAAAGTACGTTTTCTTTCGGGACTATTTTGCCTTACAACACCCTGCATATATCCCTCCACAAAGAATGCACTACAAAAATGTTTTAGGCCAAAACTTCATACACATAAAACAATGTCTGAATCATCAGGCAGTGAATTCATAACCATTTCATGTAGTAACTTTCTGTGAGGGAGCTTTTAGAGGTGGACGTCTGGTTCCTATCACCACCACTGTGAACAATTCTGTGAGTTTCTCTAGAACTGAGCATTTCACACCAAACCACTCTGAGTGACTTTGTTTACATCTTAACCATCTCATTACAGAGAAAGTTTTCTAGAATGCAGCTATATAGTTTCTAATAGTGATTCTACATTGTCATCTGTGAAAGAGCTTTTTGAGTAGGACTAAACCTAGCCTTAACTGAATGTGTAATTGCTGTGGTTGTACAGGCTCTCAAAGTCCTCAGGACGTCAGAGTTTCTCCCATACGTTGTGTTCATCGAAGCTCCTGACTTTGAGGTTCTGAAGGACATGAACAGATCTGCTATTGAGGCTGGTGTCATCACCAAACAACTCACAGTAAGTTTGGTCTCCTAGTGTTTGTCTCCTAGTCTGTCAGTCTCGTTTTGACCACAGGTTATAAAAGGACTGTATTGAAGGTTCATTATTAGAAACCTGTAGCTTGTGCAGTGTGTGTTAGTCATCTATATATACACACCGACGGGCCACTTCATATTAAACAGCTCCCGGTTTCTACACTCATTGTCCATTTTATCAGCTCCACTTACTATATAGGTGCACTTTGTAGTTCTGCAGTTACAGACTGTAGTCCATCTGTTTCTCTGCATACTTTGCTACCCTGTTCTTCAATAGTCAGGACCCCCAAAGGACCACCACAGAGCAGGTACTATTTGGGTGGTGGATCATTCTCAGCACTGCACTAACACTGATGTGGTGGTGGTGTGTTAGTGTGTGTTGCGCTGGTCTGAGTGGATCAGACACAGCAGTGCTGCTGGAGTTTTAAACACCTCAGTGTTGCTGCTAGACTGAGAACCAAAACCACCCAGCCAGCAGCGTCCTGTGACCACTGATGACCAACTGATGACCACTGAGGACTAGAGGATGACCAACACAAACTGTGCAGCAACAGGTGAGCTGTTGTCTCTGACTTTACAACAAGGTAGGAGTGTCTAATAGAGTGGACAGTGAGTGGACACAGTGTTTAAAAACTCCAGCAGCACTGCTGTGTCTGATCTGCTCGTACCAGCACAACACACACTAACACACCACCACCACGTCAGTGTTACCGCAGTGCTGAGAATGATCCACCACCCAAATAGTGCCTGCTCTGTGGTGGTCCTGTTGGGGTCCTGACCACTGAAGAACAGGCTAACAAAGTACGCAGAGAAACAGATGGACTACAGTCTGTAACTGTAGAACTACAAAGTGCTCCTATATGGTCAGTGTAGCTGATAAAGTGGACAATGACCGTTGAGATATACATACATATATATATATATATATATAAATAGAGAATCTTTTATTCTGTCTCTCTCACATTCTTTGCAGGACTCGGAGCTTAAGCGGACGGTGGACGAGAGCGAAAGGATCCAGAGGGCCTACGGTCACTATTTCGACCTCACTATCGTTAACGATAACCTGGACGGAGCATATCGCAGCCTGAAGGTGGCGCTAGAGAGACTGAGCACAGATCAGCAGTGGGTGCCTGTGAGCTGGGTTTTCTGAGTCAGGTTCAGGTGAGACAGGAAAGATCAGAGACTTTCAGCAGACTGAAGGCCTTGAAGGGATCCTTCATGTGAGTGAGTGACATGATTATGGTTGGTTTTAATAAACAGCAAACAAGAGAATTCTAGCTACTAGAAATACTTTCAGATGTTTGGTAGTAGGACAGGTCATCGCTGAGGCCCTCTGTGTTCTCCTGTATGAACATCTGGCCTCGACAGCAAGCAGTGCAGTGCGTGCGAGCCAAGCAATTTACCTCACATAGGTTGTTGCACAAAGACTGCTGAAACGGTACTATAAAGAATATTTATTACTCTGTACAGAAAAGAACAAATCAGATATACTCGTGCGTCCGTTTGAAGGTGTGGTAGATATTCGGGACTGAACAATACTGTACATGTTGGTCGTCAACACTGTATATTTGTACAGATGCTGTGATCTGAAAATACTGTTTTAGCACTTGTGGCTTTAATTTTAGCGAAAAAAATTGTTTGTAGTTTTGAGATAATGAAGATGGAATAGGAGAAAACGACGTGTCCCTGTTGGGAAATACTCCTGTACATGTTGTGATTTAGATTTATTTCATGTCGACTGTAAATAACTAGAGATTATCTAACACTGACAACAAACGGTACTTAGTACAAACGTGCTTTCCATTTACTAGAGAAAAACAAGGTAGCAATAAGTGTCTTGCGAGTTCAGCCAATCGTCACTTTTTCGTAATTTGATACCTAAGCCAAAGGGAACCACAGAAAAGAATACGCTTTCCGGATTACTTCGGTTTCATTTGGTTGTATTTTGGTGAGTGAGAAAAGTCACAATCTAGTCATGAGTCTAATAAACTTGAATATTCTGAAATAGGTTATTGATCAGTTATTAGCTTTTTTATATATAAGAATCTGCTGTTGTTCCTGTTTCCCTGCTGTTGTTTCTGGACTTGTCCTTCTTTCTCATTCAGTTCCAATACAAGTGTAAATTACATCCTGGTTCTAGATCTGGTTTTTAAGGTTGTTTTTACAGCATGGAACTCGAATTATGATGACCTGCACTATTTTCATCAGCTGTAAAATCACCATGACCTCTAGGTGATGTACTGAATCTGTAGAAGCTCATTCCTGACAGGTAGAGAAAAAATTGCATCTATGTTTTTTTTTCCCTCTTTCTTTGTTTATGGCAGCGTTGTGTCGAAATTTTGACGTAATATCTCCAAAATAATGACATTTTCAAAATTTTGACTTTGTTTTTGTTGAATAAATGAATGAATGAATTAATTTTCTTGAATTTCTGACTTAGTAATAAGTAGTTTTAATTAATAATTGTGAAATAGTAAAATAATATTGGCATACTGTACCAAAATAATGAAATTTTCTTTTGACTTAATATTTTGAAAATAATTACTTAAGAATTAATTTTGACTTAGTATTTTAAAATAATGACATTTTCAAGAAATAATAAATGAATGAATGAATGAATGAATGAATTTTCTTGAATTTTTGACTTAGTATGTTGAAATATTTTTGAGAACATTAGTAACTGTGACATATTATTCCAAAATAATTTTTCTTCACTTATTTACTTTCTATTTTGAAACAATGTTATTTTCTCAAAATTATGTACTGTGACATTTTCATTATAATTTTGACTTAATATGTTGAAATAATTATTATTTTCAAGATATAACTGATGAGTGAATTTTCTTCATGTTTTGACTTACTATGTCAAAATAATGGATATTTTCTCAGAATTCTGACTTGTTATCTCAAAATAATTACTTATTTTCCCAAAATAATTGCTTACTTATTTTTATTTCAAATAAAATTATAGTGACATACTATGTCAAATATCAAAACTTTAAGAAAATGTCATTCTTTCAAGTCAAATTTTTTGACACACTGCTGCCAGAAACAGAAAAACAAACACTGTTTTCTTCTCTGTCTGACAGAAATCAGCTTCCATAAGAATTTCTTCAAATGCAAGTGTTTGACGCCATTATATTTACAGTGGGGACTGACCGCTGTACATCATTCAACTGATAAACGTGGCCAGTATGAGGTGCTGATTTATTAGTTTTGGCAAAAGCCTCACAAATAAAGCACCAATATTTAGAAGTAACTCAGAGATCTATAATGACAGACATATCTTCACCTCTAATCTGACAAAGATTGTTCATTTCTGAGATTTTAGTGGGTGGTTGCTCTTATGCAGGGGTGGGGAATTCTGGTTCTGGAGGGCCGGATTCCAGCACAGTTAGATTTTCTGGCTCAGTCACACCTGATTCAGCTCATCTGTTAATTGCCAGGTTTAGTAGGTGTGTTAGATAAGAGAGTTCACCACACTGCTGAACTCCGGCCCTCAGTCCCCCCCTGTGCTCTCCTGGCAGGTTGCTGAGCTTTATTACAGGTTGATTGAAACAGGAATGCAAAAGACTGTTATGGTTGAAATAACATGTAAAATGCATCTAAATATAACTTACAGCATGATGACAAAAAGCGTTTAGTTAACGCTTTAGTTAAGATTTCTAACATTTATTTGGGTTCACAAAGTGTAACATTTGACAACTGACAATCACGACAGTGTTTAACTTAAACAACTAGAGTCTGGTTGATGTTTCACCAATTAAATTTGATTAACGGTGACAAAATATCCCAAACTCCAATTTCATCATTAGTACATTTCTGGCTAGATTTCATGAAGCTACCAGCCAGTCTTCCTGGGCTCTGAGGTTCAACTCTAAATGTTTTTGGTTTCTCTGTAAGAGGTTTATGGCAAAACAATGTCATTTATGCAAATTTCCTAAACTTAATAAAGATTTATAATTTAGTGGGTGACTTTAGTCTTAGTCTAGCAAACTTAAATATTGTAAAATTCTGTAAGCAGTTAAACTCAGTGTTGAACATACAGTTTAGAACATAAACGGGACAAACTGTAAAAACAAGCAAACAAAAAAACAAAAACAAACAAAAAACAAAATCTAAATTGGAGCACAGCTGAGAATTTGTTTGCATCAGTTAATAACTGATGAATCATTTGCTTTTTTGTTTCAACTTTAGGTACCTTTTAAAATATTAATAAATTGATAGTTTTGTTGAAACTGTTGAAGACTGTTCATCTAAACAGCTGCATGCAAAAGTTTGGGCACGCCAAAAAATGTGGCCTGTAAAAACATTATGGCACATTTATCTCTCTTATGTTTTAGTTTTCAATATGTAAAACTGAGCAATTAAATATAAACAGTGCAGGAAAATTTCATATTTACGTTCCCAGTAGAATACGTGTTATTTTCTTATTTTCACTTAGAAAATCAGATTAACACGGAGCTTGACCAGGGAAGTTCAAACTTTTGCTTAAGAATGTATGTACTTTTACGTCAGATTTGAAATTATTCTGTCTGTTTTTAAATTTTGCAATATTTGGGTTTTATGTAGTATTTCCGCATTTCTAGCAAATCGATGAATTATTAATTATTAATTATTAACGTCTGTTAAAGTTTTATCACTAAGTTACCAACTGTAAATAATTTATCCATATTTTTGGCATAGTATGTCACAATGTCTAGAAAGCAAGTCCTTGTTTTGACATAGTCCAAAATTTAGGGAAATCATCAATTCATTATTTTTGTGAAAAGAATTCATTGTCAAAATTCTGTCATTAAATCAATTAAATCAAATATTATGCCAAATTAAGAAAATGTCATTATTTTGTCATACTATTTGGCATTATTTAGTACGTCATAATTTCACATTTGTATTTTTACATTTTTGCATTTGTAATTAATTTGGCTCCTTAAGGTTGTCACAGTTCCATATGTTTTTATGGCCGTTTCCAGTACATGAGCAGATTCCTGTAACTGATAAGAGTAAATCTGTAGGTTCAGTTCAGTTCAGTTCATCTATAGCTGTACTGTTTTCAACCACAGTGAATCTTTATAACAGGCAATAAACTGAACTTACTCAGAGGTTACGGCACGTAACTTTGGTAAATGATCAATGCACAATCTTTGTAATAAATTACCAAGGCAAGGTTTCCTCATCATCGCTGATAAAGTCGCATCGGGCCTTTCTCCAACCTTCAGTCGGAGCCTGCCCGTTCGTGACATTACCCTTTTATTTTCAACACAGAAATAATACAAAGTTGTAAAGTGCATTTGCATCAAATACATAAACAAAGACAAGACACAATCCAAGGACTATACAGAGGCACATTTGAATCAGGATTTGAAGAGTAACTGTAAACTTTTTACATCTACATCACACAGTGTTCCTTCAACGTAGTACAAAACTATAAAATGCCTGTGAACTCAGACTTTTGCAGGCTTTTGTGTTCGTTATGGCTCTTCACTGGAAGATTCTGCTGTTGGTTAATCTTCGTAATGGAAGGTTTGTTCTGGTTCTGAAGGTGAGGACAACCCGAAATGCTCCGCTGAACCTGCCGGGATCTCCAGCTGTGCGTACGCTGGTGGTGCCTCATCAGGAATGCTTAGTTTCTGCTGGAAATGGAAAAAATAAAAAATGTGTCAACATTTATTGATAAATGAACCTACACTGTATTGCTAACTGTATTGCCATCTGGTGATGAATGAACTGACTCCCCAAGGCTACGTATTATTAAAGAGCACCTCAATCGGGAAGAGGCGGTGGACTTCTTTTGAATGCCTTGCCCAGGGGTCGCAACCCAAAAGTTAAGAAGAGCCATTTTGTCCTTCAATAAAAATCAAACCAGCTTGGGAGCCACAACATTTATGTCCATTTTACCACCTTGGCCTCTCAGTATGTGCTAACGTGCTAGTATAGGCTAAAAAATATAAATGAAAACACAGACTTACTTTACTCTGCTTTAACCTTTAGCTCAACTATAGCTGCTTTTCTCGCATCTCCGGCAGGAAACCTTTCCTCAAAAGTAGAACAGTTTCCTGTAAAATGTCTCTCAACTTTTGATTTTTTTACAAGGCTGAAGTCGCTTCTCATTCGCCAGCTTCTTGTTCGAATTTTCCCTTTCCACCTTAAATGGTGCCTGAGGCGCTAGCTCCCCCATTTAAGGTGGAACGGGACAATTCAAACAAGAAACTGGTGAACGAGAAGCGACTTTTTAGTGTGTCAGTTTCTCATTGCAGATTAAACGTATCAGGAAACCAGCTGGAGTGATTATAAATGCAAATAAGTCCATTCGTCTCCAAATTATCAATGTTCGTCTTAAATCTTTCTCTTTGCCTTTTCGCTAGCTACTAGCGAGGCGAGACTGTTGTCTGCGTTGCTATGGTGACCTGCAGTCTGCACACCAACCTTCAGGGTTAAAGGGTGAATCAGCAGTTCTACATTAACTCCAGAGTTTAAGACCATTTATTGTTAAACTGTGTTGAACGATCAGCAGAGCTTTATTTTACTGTAAAGGAGGATTATTTTATTTTTACCTACAAATCTGATTCAGCTGTGGAGCCACAACAGGGCAGTAAAAGAGCCGCATGCAGCTCTGGAGCAGCATGTTGCCGACCCCTGGCCTAACCCTACAGTGCAGCTATCCTCACACACTGACTATTTAATAATCTACCGTCCACCTAAAGTTAATTCTTTATTTGTTCAGGAATTTTCAGATTTGCTTTTTACATTATGCCCTTCATTAACAGACATTTTTATTTTTGGAGATTTTAACATACATGTTGATCCCCCCAAAGGTTAAGTTGCTGTAGACTTTCCTAAACGCGTTAACTGTCTTCCACTTGTACAGCATGTTAACAATCCTACACACAAGCATGACCATACGCTAGATCGTGTGATTACAAGTGATGGTGCTGGTTTGACTATACAGGTTTTAGATTTCACTGTTTCTGATCATTTTATGTTCTGCCTTGATGTTACTGTACACTCA